CACCAGGTAAGAAAATGAGCAACTCATCACATTGCATCTAATTGCTTATGATGGGGATATTATTTTCATTGTACCAAGGGGAGAGGAACAGCTCATTCTACTTTATACTGGCATGCAGGAAATGGGTTATGACCCTTAACCAAATTTCCTCTTGAGACATTAAGTCCACTGGGCCAAAATGGATATAAAACACTAATTCCAATAGGCTTATAGAATAGCATGGGCAGCATCTGGTTCAACAGGTGTGTTTTCTTTCCTAAGTTGAAAGGTCAGGTTGTTCTTTATGTCTGCATGACCAGCTATTTAAGGACCAAAGATCTTTCAGAAATTTAGTCAGATGTCCTCATCTCTTGGGTATCAACTCTGTGGTTTATGGTTATAATATCCTGCAGTACAATTTGCATAGGCCCTTTCATGAGCACAACAAACCCCAGGTTGTAGACGGCAGGACAAATTGTATCAGCACCGTCAAAAGCTAAATTTGCCTCTCTGGTTCTTCATCTGGATAAAAGCAACAGAGTATTGTGGCACCTTAGACTAACAAAATTCTTCCAGCATTATGACAATGTTGGATGCACAATGCTATATCATCTGTGGGGGTGTTAACCCTGGATATACAAGAAGAAAAGGCATAAAAAGTTTAAAAGGTCCAACTGTACTATGCAGAGCATTAATGAACACAAAATCCAGTCAAATGAGAAAAATCCCAAGTGGTGTAGGTATGGCCTGTGCAGTTTGAAAAAATGCAGTGCCTTTGATCTTCTATTTGTTGAGATTCTTAAGGACATTAATGTCATCATAGTTTTCAGGCAATGCCCGTTGAGCCTCTTTTAAAGGTAAAGGGACCCCTGACCATTAGGTCCAGTCGCAGACGACCCTGGAGTTGCGGTGCTCATCTCGCTTTATTGGCTGAGGGAGCCGGTGTACAGCTTCTGGGTCATGTGGCCAGCATGACTAAGCCGCTTCTGGTGAAACCACAGCAGCGCACGGAAACACTGTTTACCTTCCCGCTGGAGCGGGATCTATTTATCTACTTGCACTTAGATGTGCTTTCGAACTGCTAGGTTGGCAGGAGCTGGGACCAAGGTCGCGGGGATTTGAACCACCGACCTTCTGATCGGCAAGCCCTAGGCTCTGTGGTTTAAGCCACAGCGCTACCCGTGTCCCGAGCCTCTTTTATGCAAGTACAAATGTTAAGCATAAAAAGTACAGCAGGTCTTTCATGCAATATCAGAGGGAGGACCAGGGGCTTCAGAAGTAACTTCTAATGTAGTGTGAGGAACCTCAGGTTTTGCTGAACTCCCAACTCCCAGTAAGCATGGCCTAAGAGTCAGAGATGATGGGGGTTTGTGATCTGGCCTGGACCACCCCTAAGCACCACCCTAACTCATAAGAATATTTGTGTTTTTCAGGTAGCCGAATTAGTAAAAGAACTTCGCTGTGAGCTTGACCAGCTACTCCAGGATAAAGTAAAAAACCCCAGCATAGATCTTTGTACCTGCCCTCGAGGGTCTCGTATCATTAGCATGATCGTTAAACTTGTGACCACACAATAGCACGGAGCATTTGGTATACAGACTTATCAGCAGAACAATGGCAATAAAGATGGAAGCAACACGGATGCCTGGAAGCCGAAAGGCAAAGTGGCAATCAAAGAAACCACTATATTTGGAGTAGCCCTAATGGAGTTAATGGGGCTGGAGAAACAAGGGTGGTGGGTTTTTTCACCCAAATCATGGAAAAGTTGGCATATTTTAAGGGAAACGCGAGTGTTTCCTTTCCAGGAGCAATCTGTGAAGTACAGAGTGAGAGACTACAGTATTGCTATTTATGCCAATGAAAACTCAAGAGAGATCCAAAAACATTCAATTCCAATGTGTTTTTCTTGTCACTTTTTGTCCAATTAAGGATTAACTCTTTTTGCTACAAAATGACTGTCTATTGACTTGCTCTTCTCCTTAAGGCAGGACTTGATGTTTACTACAGCAACTGTTTGTATTTTCCTAAATTCTAAAATGGATTCCCCTGTAAGCTTTTCCTAAAACCTGTCCTAATCTGATCGATTAATCAATGTCGGTTGCCAAAAATTTAAATGAAAGATAAATGGTCTTTACTATAAAAATGAACCAGGTTCTATATGAGCTGGTGTGTGTGTGTGTGTGTGTGTGTGTGTGTGTGTGTGTGTGTGTACACAGGGCTCAAATTACAGCTTGCCAAAGGCTGTGGAAGTTGTCTTGCTCCTCAAAGGGTTAGTCTAGAGAAGAAAGTTCATTACTCTTTTACATTGCCTGAAGTAAACTTAGCTTCCTTGACAAGACAGCACTTATGAAAGCAGTAAGTTTGAAGTGTGCCAAGTTTTTGCAAAAACAAGACATGAAGATAATGCTGTTACATCCTAGTTCTGAGCCCCGCTGGCTCCTGAAACCAGATCTTTCACAGGTCAAAAGAAATGGTTGAGGAATGCAAGTACGAAAGAGGCTTATTTCAGTACAGTTCATTATGACTTGTGGACTCTCATCAGCCCAGCAACTTCTTATAAACAAGGAGCGCAATCCTGCAGAAATTAATGGGACTTGAACAGAAGCTCCCAAAAAGGTGCATTTAAGGATTTTTTAAAACAGTAAACCAACATTGGGGCAGGAGTGGAGAATGCACAATTGCTATGGCGATAGAAACGAGCCCGCTGGTGGTTAAAAATAAAACTCTGTATAGTAACTTTATGTATGTCACCTGAGGTGCTCATTGGTTGGATTAATGGTGATCAACAAGCTCTAAAAATAAACAGGAACTTGTTCATTAGATTTGTAATCTAGTTTGATGTTTCTTTTTTGCAAGAAACTATGTACAGGTAACTTCCCACTTGTGCAGGGGTTACGTTCCAGACCCCTGCGTGCTTAAGTGAAATTGCATAGTGGGGAACACCTTCTAAACACTCTTTAAACACCCTCTGTTGCACTCTCTTCAATCCAAACCAAAAATACTGTATCCAAAAATATCCACAACTATAATTGAAGCTCTGGGGCTGGCAGGAGACTGGAGGATGCACGGGAAAGAAGCTCCTGCTACTGTGCTACCCAAACACATCAGCTGTTAAGTGGGGAAGCTGAGCAGCTTAAACAAAGTCCTGTTATGCTTTTGGTCTCTTCAGGGCTTTCTCTGTCCTCACTAACATCCTCTGGGCTCTGGGGAGGGTCTCATGAACCATGAGGGCTGCCTAGTTTTGATGTGGATATTAACTCTAGTAAATCTACTTGCATCTGTGCAACAGGATCAGTTGAATTGCCCCATGAGTGTCTTATCAGGAGGAAATTTTGCTACAGAGGTTTGTATAGTAGATCTTCCCTGACACCCTGTAACATAAGCAATAGCCTTCAGTGTAGAAGATTACCGTATTTTTCGCACGATTGGACGCACCGGACCATAGGACGCACCTAGTTTTTTGGGGGGGAAATAAAGGAAAAAATTTTCCCCTTTATTTCCCCCCCAAAAGCAGGTCAGGGAAACCGAACCAGGTCGAGGAACAGCGGGATAGTGGCGCTGCGCCTCCCTGCTGTCCCCCGAGCTTGTGGGGCTGGCCGATGTCTGTCCGGCGGGCGGGGCGCTCTGCTTCAGGGCGCCCCACCCGCCAGGCAGCAGGCTGCTATCCGCAGCGTGGGGAGCCCTGTGGGGAATTCCTGCAAGGCTCCCCACGCTGCGGATGTGTTCCCGAAGCGCCTGGAGCTCTGCTTTCAGGGCGCCCGACGCTCCGGGAAGCAGGCTGCTATCCGCAGCCTAGACACGGCTAGCGGAGCGCTAATCCCGAAGCTTGGGGCGTGCGGAGCTCAGCGCGCCCCAAGCTTCTGGGCGCTAGCGGAGACCTTGCTGGCGCCCAGAAGCTTGGGGCGCGCTGAGCTCCGCACGCCCCAAACTTCGGGATTAGCACGGCGCTTCGCTAGCCCTGGGAGAGCCCCGCGACGTCGCGGGGCTCTCCCAGGGCTAGCGAGACCTTGCTGGCACCTAGAAGCTTGGGGCGCGCTGAGCTCCGCACGCCCCAAGCTTCGGGATTAGCCCGGCGCTTCGCTAGCCCTGGGAGAGCCACGCAACGTCGCGGGGCTCTCCCAGGGCTAGCGAGACCTTGCCGGCACCCAGAAGCTTGGGGCGCGCTGAGCTCCGCACGCCCCAAGCTTCGGGATTAGCGCGGCGCTTCGCTAGCCCTGGGAGAGCCCCACGACGTTGCGGGGCTCTCCCAGGGCTAGCGAGACCTTGCCGGCACTTAGAAGCTTGGGGCGCGCTGAGCTCCGCACGCCCCAAGCTTCGGGATTAGCCCGGCGCTTCGCTAGCCCTGGGAGAGCCACGCAACGTCGCGGGGCTCTCCCAGGGCTAGCGGAGACCTTTCCGGCACCCAGAAGCTTGGGGCGCGCTGAGCTCCGCACGCCCCAAGCTTCGGGATTAATGCAGCGCTCCGCTAGCCGTGGGAGAGCTGGGTCTCCCACGGCTAGCGGATAGCTTCCTGAAGCCTGGAGAGCGAGAGGGGTCGGTGCGCACCGACCCCTCTCACTCTCCAGGCTTCAGCGAAAGCCTGCATTCGCTCCATAGGACACACACACATTTTCCCTTGCTTTTTAGGAGGGAAAAAGTGCGTCCTATGGTGCGAAAAATACGGTACTTGCCGGTTCACTGGCTGCATATACTGCAGCGACCTGTCACCATATCACTTCTCATAAAAACTTAAAACACATCACTTTCCAGTGAATACAAAGATTTTCAGATAAGGACAAAGATGAAAGTAGCAATTTTAGGGGTTCTGAATTGGTGAAAGTACAAGCTACATATGATGTGTTTCCGCAGCTATTGTAATTATTCTGCTTGTATATTATGAACTGTAGTTTATAGAGGTATTCCTAATTTAATATCAGTACTGAATGGTAAGAATGTGATGTTTTCATATATGACTCTTCATGACTAATGGTAACTGAATATAAAGGAGCATTCATAGGATACCAAAAGGAAGAGATAAAAACTAACGTCAATGCTTATTTTCATATAAAAATATATATAGTACAGATTTGTTACATTTGCCATTTCTTCACAAAACAAATCCAGAAAAACCATTCAGTTTTGACTGTGACTTTCTGATAGCACTTAGGAACACAAAATGCCTAAATTAAGGGGAAATTCAACAGGTATTTTATAGATCGGCCTTCTGATATAACTAGAAGCCCTCTAAATATTTGGACTACAACTCAAATCAATCCCCGGCCAATGTGAGTTTTGTAGTCTGTGTAGAAGGCATTAGGTTGGGGAAGGTTAGCATAACTTCATCCCAATTCTTCAACTCTGTCATTGCTGAAGGCCAAGATAACTTTGTATCAATCCTTGAACTCGAGACAAAATTATTTCATTGGAACTATTGCAATCCTCTGGTCCATACGGTGGGTCAATAGTCAACACGCCTGCAACACAGAGTGTGCTTTGTGACTCTCCTTGCTCCCTTACAGGAATATGGTTTTTCTCCAACCAGTTCTTCAAGCTGCTTTTCTTGTCCTCCAGCTCCTCTTGACTGTAGGTTTGGCTTTCTCCAGGCATGAATAGGTGGGCAAGTTTCTCTTTCATAGCATCAGAAGCTTCGGACAATATCTTCACCTCTTGCACTGCATGCCCCAAGATGCCTGAAACAGACACTTTTCCATTCTCAAGGGGATTTGCCAGAAGAATGCTGTCAAGAAAAGGAGTTCACATAAAGTTTTGGAACTTGGTGGAAAGACCTACAGAAATCTCGCATGCTAAACGCTATCAAATGTATACTCAACTTTATCTTGTCAAAACACACACGCCCCAACGTCTCATGATTTGTTAACAAACCTACAAAAAAGTGCAAACATAAGAACGAAAACAAAAATCAAAGCTCCCACATTCTTAGGCAACTGTGGAATACCACTGCTAAACCTTAACATTGATGGTCAGTGACCTGATCACACTGCCTCAATTTTACCAGTGTAGAAAACTCATCTGATGCTATCTCAAATATTTTCCCCTTCTACTTGTTCTGCTGTCCTATTTATGAGAATATCAGTGAAAAGAATAAATTGCTGGGCAAAGTTTCTAGTTGTTGGTGTGAATAGAAATTCTGAAGTGTGAAACCAGACAACATCAGACATTTGTCAATAGCAGCAGCAGCAACGGGCTAATCGCATGCTGAGTAGAAAGTAAAATTTACATATATTTTACAGATTTTTCTACTAATGGTTGTGCTTCCCCCTTCCCCTCCCAATTCTAGTTCTGATTCATGGTTTTGAAAATAAAATTAATGTTGATACTGTAGCAGGAACCCCCCCTCCACCCCAATCATTCAGTTTGTACAAACTTCACACACACTCACACACACACACTACATACACCACGCTTCTGTTATAAATTCATAGAAAAATCAACCATACATCGGATTTGCACTGTTCCACTTTTATTTGACTCCATGAAGGAAGGACTACAACATGGGGAAGGTTTGATACAGGCCAGCCATAATCCCTTCACCATCCCAGCACATCCACAGGAGCCCTGCCCAGTTGCTATGCCAACCCTGATGGTCCTAGACAGAAGACCATCAAGATCACAAAGAACTTGCATATGGGAGTGGATTCAGCATGGGCTGAAACAAAGGACAATGATCAGATCTTCCCTCTGGGGCAGGAAACTGCCAACTCCCCTTTGTCTCCTGGAATTGACTCATGGGGAGGGGGAAAGGAGGAACCAGCCAGGTGACAGGACACTCAGGTTACCACCACAACTCCTCCCTCAACCCCTCCTTTCTGTAATGTATGCATGATGTTTCTGGTGGTGGGCTTGACCTAGGATGGGAATTTCAAAAGTTTTTATAAGGTCTTGCACACCATTTTTCTGTGTCTTTCCTCTCTCTTGCAAGTGAGGGGAACACCCTGTTGCAACAGTTCAATAAAGGCCAAGCCTACAGGCTGCTGTTTTGCTCCAAGTTATCCTGGTTGGTGTCTTTGTTTTGTCCAAGGGAGCCCTCGGATTTTTCCGGTAACAATACATTTCTCTCTCTGGGTATCACACTTCCATGCATACTGAACACCTACTTACTTGGCAGACACTGGATCGACTGTTAAAACCCATCCTTTATAATTCTGTTTCTCAGCAGCCAGAACTTCAATTTCTTTATTCACATAAGTCAGCCATTCCAAAGGCGTTTTCCTCTGCCACTCAGTCATATTTCCTATTTGTTGAACCTAATGAGAAAACAAAAAACACACTGATCAGCAAAAGTTGATAAAGCTGTCTGTTAAAACAATGTCTAGATATCCCGCTTGTATCTAGAAGTTAGGAACAACAGCACAATTCTAGATATGTTTATTTTATTTATTTCTCATTTATTAATTTTGTATACTGCTCTTCCTCCAAAGATCCTAGGGGCCGTTCACAACATAAAAAATGAGAACACAAAATACATATTAACCGAAAACCAATAACCTCCCTCCCACAAAAAAAATAAGACCAAAGAATGTTAAACAGCCAAAAGTAAGAAGCAGATTTTAAAAAATTAGGTTTACAATCTAACGCAATTGACTTTAGAGACTCAAGAAATGCAATAAGGGCACTAAGTATCACAGCTAAACATATCTTCCACCCACTCCTTTTATACTCGAGATCAGGGCATGTTTCTCCAAAGAATAATCTTACTGTGCAATAATAAAGTGTTATTCAACCCGGAGCGAGGGCATGTTTTGGAAAAGCTTTGCACTCCCAGCGCAGAAGTTTATTTGGAATCTAAAGCGCCCGCCTTCATCCACACAGTTCTTGCTTCTTCTCTGCCTATAAGCCCATAAAAGAGACACGGAACCGGATCAACAATATTTTTACATCGCACTCACCGCTAAAGATGAAATGCGGGTTTCCTTGTAATCCAGCCGGTAAAAAAGGCGAGGGATTCAGGCGAAACGCATGCAGCGTTTCGCTCCCGTCGTCATTGCTTGGGCCCAGAATGCACCGGGTTGTAGTTTCAAGTTCCTCCTCTGCAAAAAAGCAATATCCGGAAACAGCTGCTTACGGGCAACCCCTTCACTCATCGGATATTTACTCCCATCTCACACGCTAAGAATAACCGCGTTCAGCAAGCAGCCCCGCAGAACGAGCTGGCAGAGCTCGGAAGTTTAAGCAGTCCGGCAGCAATTGATACTATTTAGCTTACTCCGCCTCTCTTTGCCTAACGTTAAAAAGAAAATTAAAAGCCAATTCAGAGGGCCAATCCTAATAGATGACTAATCAGAGGCAACTCCAGTAAAATATACTGGGTTAAGTGTTAAGATTAGATTTCCAGAGTGCGAATGCAAAATAAATTTGTTCGGATTAAGTCGCCCTGAATCCAGCGAGTATGCCTAGAATTGCAGCTTCAAGGGACTTTTTTAAAGGCACGTTTTTAAAAAGCTTTTGTAATAGTCCCAGGATGGGGGTCACAATATTTTAAAGCAAGGAGGGTGTTTCTTTATGTTACTGTAGAATAGTAGCGTTTTCCTAGCGTGCGTTGTGCTTTCCGTTCCAAAGATAGTATTTTTATATTACATTTGTTAGTCGCTTTATCTTACCCAAGCAACTCAGAGCGACTTACAACCAATCTAGCCAGTTTGCATTGCATGAAGTAGCCCAAAACAGTGGGTCAGGTTTCAATCCTATATAGACTTAACCTGGGGTACGTAAATAAGAGTTTCCCAACTCTGCTAGCTAGCTGTTTTTTGAACTACAACTCCCATCATCCCTAGCTAGCAGGACCAGTGGTCAGGGATGATGGGAACTGTAGTTCAAAAATAGCTAGAGACGAGAGTTTGGGAAGCCCTGGTTGAATTTAATTTACTCGGGTTAGCTTCTTTATAAACATGCATAGAGCATTAAACTGACTCTCGAGTCAGCTCTATTGAACGTAGTGAGACTGACACCTGAGAAAACCGACGTCGGAGTGCACCATTAATGTTCTGCCTTTTGCATGCTAGTGTTACGAGGAATCTCTTTCCTCCTCAGAGAATGAAGTGCAGTTTAGAGAAAGCTGAGGAATTGCCCTCAAGCCCCACGAATGCACGCTCGCACTTAAGTAACACTAAACGAATGCCATTATTTTAGGACAGGCTCTTTAATGTGGTGTGATGCCTGGAGTGAAGAAAACTGACAGATGTTCTGTTATTGTTCATTTTATTCAGAAGGCTCTCACGTTCTTATTCGCTGTTGGCTGGAGGTCCTTGGGCGGAGTGTAAAAAATAAACCACCTTTTAAAAGGTTAACAGCCATCGGTTTCCCAATGGACAACACAGAAATACTGTACAGTATTGATTTACCAGGAGCTGGTAGCAGAATATAGGGGGCGCAAATGGACTAAAGACACGTGGATTTGAGGAAACAAGCGATCCCTTTCATTTGCTGCAAGGAGCTTCTCAGCGACCATTGCCTTTTCACGAGCACCAACTTTCCCAAACCCTTCACTCCGCCTTGAGCAACCCCCTAAAAAAATTCAGTGCTGACAAAACTTCCCGAACGCGCAAATATATTAAAATCCGCTTCCACCCCGGGAAGCCACCGTAGAAAATCTGAGGGAAATGTTGCTGAGCGGCGTACGGTGGGGCGCTCGAAACCCAGCCAGATGGGCGGGGTATAAATAATAATAATAATTTTATTATAGTAGTAGTTGTTGTTGTTGTTGTTGTTGTTGTTATTCCCCAGAAAACGGCACATGTTTTCAAACAGGCAAATTACACGCTCGGGCAATAACCGCGTTCCCAAAATGGAGGCTGCCTCAGCCTCCGCTCCCTCCCTCCCTCCTTCCAGCCTGGCGTTGCTACGGAAACCAAAAGCTGACTTTCTTCCCGCCTCGCCGGCGCGCGGCGGCCTGGCCATTGTTACGCGCATGCGCGCCAACGGCACGTCCTATATAAGGCCCCGCGAGCCCGCATGCGCGTGGAGACGGTTGGGCTTTCCCCCCCTGCTCGGGCGAAGATGTCGCGGTATGGCCGTTACGGTGGAGGTGAGTGGCGCGAGCTGGGAGAAGCGGGTGGAAAAGAGGCCGCTGCGACGCCTCTCTTTTCGAGGCCCCGCTTAGCTAAATCCGCGGCGCCCAGGCCGTTTTCCGTGTCGGCGGCGGCGGCGGCGAAGAAGCCCGTTAAGCGGCAAAGTGCCGCCACTGCCGCCGCCATTTTGCACAGGCATGGTCGCCGGCTGCGCTGAGGAGAAAGCGACCCCCGGCTTCGGCGCTGTGGCGTTTCGGACGTTGGAACTGCGTCGCCGGCTTGGTGTGAGGAGGGGACTCGCCTCGGGGTAACGGCAGACGGGGCTTGTGGCCGGAGCTGGCGGGGTTTGTTTTCCCTCCCTTCGGCGCTACTGACGCTGCGCGGGCAAAATGGAGGCGGCGCCAAAGATGGCGGCGCCCAGGGCTGCTCCGCTCGCCTTCGGCAGCGAGGAAGAGGAGGTGGGCGGGCTGGCCGAGGGAAGAAGCCGCGAGGGCGGCGGCGCGTTTGGCTGAGCCGTCGGCGGAGGGAGGGCGGCGCGAGGGCGGAGAAGCGGCGCCGGAGGGCCCGGAGGGCAGTTGCCGCCGCTTGCGCTTCCTCTGCCGGCTGCCTGCCGGTTGGCGCGCTTTCCAGGAGCCTCTAATAAAGGGAGTGGCGGCCTCATTGAGCCTCGCCAACTTCTGGCGTGTTCCCCTTTCTCCTTGACCACGCGCCTGCTTAAACTTTTGTGCCCCGGAGTATGTGAAGTGCGCTTCTTATGCAGGTTATTATGATTATTAATTGCTTTGAGCATCTCGACTGTAACACCCAATTAGATGGACAGAAAAACTAGGAGAAATCTTGTGCGTTTGATACAGGGTGTCGGTATAATAGTATTATTTTCCTCCTTGTTGTCGCTTTGACGTGCCCCCCCCCCCCAAGCTGCCAGCATGGATGCTGGAAACTTGAGTTTATAATGGTTGCAGCCCTGCTTTTGCGGTTCAGTGGGAGTGCAGTTTGGCAAGTGAAGTGAACATGAATACTTAGCGGTGAAATTGACTTCAGACTATTAAGGAAGTATATTTTCTTGGAACTTTCTAAAAAAAATTCTTTTTTTCTTTTGTGTGTGTAGAAACCAAAGTATATGTTGGTAATCTAGGAACTGGTGCTGGTAAAGGTGAACTTGAGAGAGCTTTCAGCTACTACGGACCATTACGCACAGTATGGATTGCGCGAAATCCTCCAGGATTTGCGTTTGTTGAGTTTGAAGACCCAAGAGATGCTGAAGATGCAGTTCGTGGGCTAGATGGAAAGTATGTGCAAGTGCTAACTGGTTATCTACACGGGAATAAAAACTGAATTCTGAGTCCATAGTTGGATTATTAAATATGTGTTTCTGTTGCAGAGTGATCTGTGGCTCTAGGGTTAGAGTGGAGTTATCAACCGGTATGCCACGCCGGTCTCGCTATGATAGACCCCCAGCGCGCCGGCCATTTGATCCCAATGATAGATGTTATGAGTGTGGCGAGAAAGGTCATTATGCTTATGACTGTCATCGCTACAGTCGTCGGAGAAGAAGCAGGTACGTTTAGATATAAGGAGATTTGTTTTCAGCAGTTAATCATAGTTTTTATTAGCAAAGAAGGTAATGATACACCATTTTAAAAGTAAATGTTATAATTTATGTGGGTATATTACAATTGTTTATATTTTGTGTTACTATGTTAATATGTTAATAATCAACCTGGTCAAAACCTTTCAGGTTTCTTCGTTTGAGTCAGTCGCCTTGATTCAGAATGTCACGAGCCTTAAGATTTCATGCTGAGGCGCCTTGCAAATCCGACAATTAAGATCCTCCTAGACCTTGAGGTGATCAGCATAAGAGGCCAGATCCCCTCGAGCCATCTACACCTAGCTTCACCTTATTCTTTAAAGGGCAGAAAAATTGAGACGGTGATCGCCGTAACAGTAAATTTGGCTTTCAATTGGGGCCCCCTCCGGTTTAAAAAGAGGAACACCAGATTGACCACATTCCCACCTAGAAAAATCTTCTTGCGTCAATCAAGCCTCACCTGGCTCATTTGGCTGTCAGTTTGATCGTCGTTAGATTGAAGAGAACACCTAGATGCAGCGACCGGCTATAGATACTTCTAGATCGTCTAGATCTGCTAGACCTTGGGCCAAAGAGGGTCGACCTGCAAACTTGCAAGGTTTATTTTAAATACACATTACAGTGTTTTATATTATGATTGTAATTCTAAAATGTTATTCAGTTTAACATCTTTTTTAGGTAGTAAAAAATACTCAAGACATAGGCCCTGATTTTTTTCAACGTACAAGACACTAATTTTTAATTATCAGATATTTTGGCTTTGGCAAAGGCTCACATGTTAACTGTTGAAGTTGTGGTCTAATACTTCTCTTATCTAACCTAAAACTAGGTCACGCTCTCGATCTCATTCAAGGTCCAGAGGAAGGAGATATTCTCGCTCACGTAGCCGAAGCCGTGGCCGGAGGTGAGCATCAAAATTGGAACAAGGTGCTTTAGTTTAAGAATCAGAATGGCATATTTGTAACAACCACCTTTCTTTTAGATCCAGGTCTGTCTCTGCTCGGAGATCAAGATCACTCTCCCCTCGGAGATCCAGATCTGTCTCGCCACGCAGATCCCGTTCAGGTTCTTTAAAAAGATCAAGGTAATTTTGCTAATAAGCTTAATGTTCATGGAGTTGATTTAATCATTAGTATCTTAATACTTTTACCCCATATTCAAAGCAGCTTACAAAAGTAAAAGGAATTGTAGGCAATATTTTGAAAAAAACCCATAAATAAATGCAACAATAAAATCTTTGATTGAATCAAACATATATCTCTGAAGAAAAGCACATCTGGGCATCATATGTTCTAAGCTTCTTCCAGAATGAATAGAATTAATGCACTTTGTATATTGCTGTGACTGCATGTCTACAACCTTGTTTCATGACAGCTTTCATTCACCTGCATAGATGTGTTAAGAGCTTGGAATTGAGTACCTTCTCTTTAAAACCTAGGTCTCGGTCAAGGTCAAGATCCAGGTCCAGGTCCGTTTCACGACCCAGAAGCAGGTAAACGTCAATGCTTTGTAAAATAGTAACTAGTAATTAGCTAAATGATGTGAAATGGGCATTTTTCTAAATGTTAATCACTTCCAAATGCCTCTTGCAATGTTTTAATTGAAAGCATCAAATATCTACTGTACACAAAGGATTATACTAGGAATGCGAGTTCATTTAGCCTACTCTATACATTTAAGTAGTTTAGAAGCAATCTTTGTGGTTCTCGAGTATTCAGCATCAAAATAACCAATTGCAAGATGTTACCAGCTTCTTTCATGCTTTTATTTTAAAACAGATAAATCATGGCTATAGATCAGGGGTAGTTAACCTGTGGCCCTCCAGCTATTGTTGGCCTCCAACTCCCATCAGTCTCAGTCAGCAAAGGCAGTAGTCGGGGATGATGGGAGTTGTATTCCAGTAACATCTGTAGGTCCACTGGTTCCCTCCCTGGCTGTAGATACTGGATCAGTCTAGTGTTTGCTAATGTAATGTAATTGATGCTGTTTTAACAGCCGTTCCAAATCAAGATCACCATCTTTAAAGAGAAGGTAAGCTGAGCCTCTGAAGGAGACATATTGCATTTTACGCAGATAACAATCGAAATAAAGTTTATAACAGTGTTGTATATCCTGGATTCCCAGTTCTACATTTAAAACATTAAAATAATGTTACTAAATGTTAAAATTCCTACAGAGCTGTGATTTGTTTATAGTTCTTTATAATAGTTTTTAGGTTATTTTTTAAAAAAGTGAAATAATGGGAGATACCCATGAAATAGGGTAAAAGCACAAAAACTGGCATCTTCTGTTGGGAAAGTGAGTGATTACTATTCACTCAGGGTCTGAGGAACTGTGGCAGGCCACTTAAGTGTAATAAAAATTTGCACTTAAGCAAATTTAAGATTTAACCAAAGTCCAGAACCATTCTCAAAAAGGGCATTTAATAATAATAATAATAATACAGCATATTAATAATAATGGAGCATATTACCTGGCTATGTTAATGGACAATAAATGTAAATGGCTCAAAGGTTAAACGGAGAAGGTTTATAGTTGTGACTGAAACCTTCAGGAAATTGGCAGGACAATCTAGACATTGAACAGCAGCTAGCTGTTACTTAATAATAGTAGACTGTGTCAGAATTTTTAGTTCCTCATGAGTATATGTGTTTAAAAGCATTTTTACTTGATTTAATATTCAGTCTTGCTTTTTCAGTTTTGATATGAGCCATTTATATCCATTCTCCATTAACTCAGGGTAAGTATGCTTCTTGAACACTGCAAGAGAGCTTGGTAATACTTCCTGTGGGAATGGGGGTGCATGCAAACTTTTAAGTTTGCTTCAATATTTAACATTAAGAGCTTGTAGCCTTCAATTCCAACTAACATCCTCTTCTGAAGCAGCATCCAAATAGGTGCTAGGATTAAAATTACTAATGTGCAGGTAGCATGGATCCCCTTTTAAGAACACTAATCTATTAATTTCCATTTTTTACTAATTTTAACATTGAGTAACCTAGTGACTTCGTTTTTCTCCCTTTTTATTTTTAGTCGTTCGCCATCAGGAAGCCCTCGAAGGAGTGTGAGTCCTGAAAGACTGGATTAGAATTGCAAAGAACGTGATAGGAAGAATTTTGTTTACGTTATTTTAAGGGATTTCTTTGGTGTTATTGACAAATGTAAGGATTTAGTTGATTGAAAACCTTTTCTAGGGCTAACGCAGCGAGGATCTTGATCTTCTAGTAAAATCTGTAAAAGCTGCTACATTAGACTAGTGCACAATTTCTGTATGTAATAACATCCTGTGATCTGAAAAGTGGGTCTTTTTATGGGCACATGAAATAAAATGTGTATTTCTAACTTTGCTGTAATGCTATTTGCTTCTGTTAATCAAGTGCATGTTAAAAGCAGATTACAGATACCTTAGTGTTGTACACAAATACTGTGCAAGGGTATTGGCTAAAATACTTGTGGCTACCACTAGCCTGCGGGCATCAAGCTTAAGTGTGACATTTAATTTGGTGCTTCAGGCTTTCTGGGGTGTTATGACTTGCAAAGGTATTTTTAAGGAAGCTGCTTGTTGATCTGATTCTGTAATGGTATTTATACAACTGTTGGAGTTTGATCTGTTAACTTGTAAAATCAAGTTGGCTTGCTTAGCAGAATACTCTTTATGACATACCACCACAGGCACAATTATCTTAAATGATGCCACCTTAAGTTGTATTCAAATTGCCAGTTTGTTTGAGTTCTATCTGGGATACCAAGAAAATACAGTAGTGTAAGCAATGGGCTTTTCCCAAGGTATTTTGGATAGAAGGTAACAGTGAATTAGGCAGATCCTAACCTGATTCAAAGCAGAATCTGATCTTGTGAAAGTAGTTTCTATCTCATACTGCTAGGCTCCCTGGTTCACTTACTCAGTTCACTCATTCTTTCTCCCTTAATGAAAACAGGAAGCTAGTTTGAGGACTGTTTATCTTCACTGACAGCATAAATTGCATTTTAGCTTCCTTAGCAGGGCAAAATTTAGCTGTAATTGAGCAGAATCAAAATGGCAAAGGAAGATGCTGAAAACAAACTTCAAGCATACACCTTTATCAAACATACATGTCTCATCTGGAAATGCCTGCTGCTTAACTGCAATGCCAGTATTGCATAAGTTAGCTTCTAATCTAAAATTCATGGCTAAATATAACATACTAAACCTAAGGTTGAACAGAGAGTAACATCTGCTTAACTTCTATGGCAGAACACATAGATGGCACTTGAGTGACAAAGGGCTGAAACAATACCCATTTAGTTAGATGAAAGTAACTTCAGTTTTTGTTTTAAACTGTCTTGACATGGCTATATTTATGATACTAAATGAATATGCTGTTTCTGATAAATAAAAATGCTTAACATTTTCTAATCAAGAAAGTTGCATGCTCACTTTCACAATTGGCAATCCTTGTGATCTCAATTTTGAATTACTGTTAAGCTATTTTACAAAATCTGTATAATCTTGCTAATTTAGATTGTTTCAGTGATGTATACTCTACTAACCTTGAATTGGTTGTCTGAATATGTCCTGCACAGAAGATAGTTTGTTACATACTATTTTCACTGAGTTTAGAATTTTGGAATAATTGTCTAAAAATCAAGGTGGGCAAACATACTCCACCCTGCCAACATACTAAGATCAATTTAAAATGTTAGTTGCCTAGTGCAGTACCAAACACCATCCTTAAATACAACCCATTATCTAGTAAATTTTCCTACTCTGAGTAAACTCATGAGACAGGACTTACTTAGTAGTAAACTCTGAAATTAATGATCCTATGAATAGGACCAAGTTGAATACAACCCAATGGGCAGGATTCAACTAACCTGTCCCAGCAGCAGGAGCTCTGCAAGGGCAGGCCTGAAAGAGCCCCTCCCTCGAGGGTCAGGAGAACACACAGGGAGCAGCGGGAAGAATGGTTCTACCTGGCAAGCCAAAATGCTTGTGTTGGTGTTTTTATTTTCAGCCAAAAGGCAAGCAGCAGTTGACAGACAAATCTGTATTCTCAATGCCACAACAAAATACTTTCTCAGAGTTTGGACAGGGGCACAGATGTTTTGTAGTGGGGGAGACATAACAATAGATAAGGCCCTTTCTAACTCTTCCTGTTTAGTGTTCTTACCTTAAAAAACAAAACAAAAAAAAGCACCTTTGTCACTTTATGAGTATAGAAAGGGCTGTGGGTGAGAGTGGCTTATGACAGGCTATGATTTATCACAAGCCCGTCAGTGATGTTCATTAGGGGTTGGGCCAAAGGTGAGATAGCTGGCTGTTCCCACATTCAGTTGTGCTGAGAACTACACAAAGATGGTTGTGCTGGGAATAGCATGCAGCCGTCATGCAATGTCATCTATTAATACTGCAGGTCACAGATGAGGCTTAGGTCTGGATTCCTGTTCAAAAATCCCCCATACCTCTTAAGTTGCAGCAAAGGTCAGTCTACTGAAGTTGCCTCTTCCCATGCCAAATCAAGCACTCCATTAGATGCAGAAGCTTAATGCACACTGGTTTCACTTTGAAATGTTTAAAAAGTTTGCACATGAAGACAGACTTGCATTAGAGCAGGGAGTCGCCCCCCCCCCCTTCAGGTACGTGCCAGGAATCTACAGCACAGCATTTTATAGCAGGGCCCCACCTGTATATAGTAAGTCTCCAGTTTTTATGTAGCCAAAATAGTACCATGCATGTAGAAAAGAGGTAACAGCCTTGCTGGCTGATGGGTTTCCCATCAATTACCTGGAAGCTTAATGGGAAGCACCCTGCCAACATACTAACAGCAAACGTAGGTACTGAATTAAGCCTATTTAGCATCACAAATGGCTACTGAGAAACCAGCAATATAGGCATGTTTAGAGATACTTTTAGGTATGCAGAAGAAAATGGGAGCAGGATCTTCAGTACAGCTCACAGGACAATATGTTCAGTAGCTACTGCTGTTTGTCCTGTGGTGGAATAGAGAATCCAAAAAGGACATGTTGTCTGTACTGAACAGCAGCAGTTAACATTCTTTTGCCATTGCCACTTGTCTATTTGTTAATGATTCAAAGCACTTCATTTGCATTCTCATTAATCCTTGCAACATTACTGAATTCCAAACCAATACAAGCTTTTAAACAACTCTTCACAGCTCTTGCATTTAGAGTCTATTTTAGACCCAATGCAAATGTAATACCTTTACCATTGCTAAGAAATTGGGGTGGAGAAGAACTGTGGCAACATCCTTAGCAATAGTATCTTGAAGTGAATTTACATTTTAACATGATTTATTTCTTCTATTTCCACCTGCCTTTGAACCAGTAAGCTCTCAAGGGGGCGGTGGGAGAGAAAGAAGGTTGCCTGTATAAAATCTTAAGTCTATGCAGGATGGTGTCAAGTAGACTTCTTGAGTACATGAAGACACATTTGATCCTAAAACGAACAGTCTAGAATCTTTGAAAACTACCTTGTTACAGATTGCTACAAAAAAATCTTGGTCTTTGCTTAAGCTACAGAGAACTTGAAGCAAGTTGTGGTCTTGTATTCCTCTCCTGGGTGCAGCAGGCTATCTGGGAAATTAGGCTGTAAGAATAAAAAATAAAACTCAACATTTGTGCACTTATAGAAGAAAAATTGCTTGCATCTAGGGTTCTGTTTGATTGCATTTAGAACAAACCATTACAAAATTGGGAGTCAAATCCTTGCCAATCTACTGCAAATCATTCATATATACTAGCAGAACCTGATCTGCCTTTGGCATGTAACCACAAGCTTTCTACACACATACATAGTATTCTTGAATTGGTTCACATTTGATTAATCAACTTTTGGTGTTTTGAACTTGCAATCCTGTACATACTTAACTGAGTGTAAATTCATACTGTGAGCAGTTATGCTTAGGAATGCACTGTTGAGTCTTGAGAATGCAGAGAAATTGCAAAGGAGCTGTGCCATTTTAGAGTGGCGGGGGATCACCTACTTGAATGTTTTTTGATCTAAAAAAACTTCCTATGCACAGAAAAGCAGCCTTGCTCTGCATAGCAAAATGTGATCTACCTGCAGTCAGAAATGAGATAATCACAGAATAGCTGTACCATGTGATTTCAGTGCTTATGCAGATCCACCCATTACTGGTTTCTATGTTCTTCTGAGCATCTTCAAAATGAAATCTGCAATAAACCATTGAAGCTGAGCCCCAAGACAGTTTTGTGTAGCTTCTATTCTGTGTGGCCCCGTGGTCATATAAAACTTAAGAATGTACCTGGTTCACGGCATTTGGCCAGTTCTGTGTTTCCAGGCAGAAGCCAGAATGCTTGGGATACACACAGCCTCCTTTTCCCTTTAGAGTGCCATCTAAGAAATTCCCAGTGTAAAACTGAATCCCGGGCTGAGTTGTATAAACCTCTATCATTCTGCCACTAGGGGGATGGTGGGCTCTGCAAAAAGAAAGTATCTGTTAATTACATTTCCAGGAGTCTACTCAGAGAAAAGTTACAGTGGTGCCCCGCAAGACGAATGCCTCGCAAGACGGAAAACCCGCTAGACGAAAGGGTTTTCCGTTTCGGAGGCGCTTCGCAAGACGAATTTCCCTATGGGCTTGCTTCGCAAGACGAAAATGTCTTGCGAGTCTCGCCATCCCCCCCCCCGCTTTCCCCCCTTTTTCTAAACCGCTAAGCCGTTAATAGCACTTTAACAGCTTAGCCGCTAAGCCTTTAATAGCTGCTAAGCCGCTAAATCGCTAATAGCGCTTAGCCGCTAATGGGGTTGCTTCGCAAGACAAAAAAACCGCTAGACAAAGAATCGCGGAACGGATTCTTTTCGTCTTGCGAGGCACCACTGTATGTGTAGTGGTAGCCAGCAGCTCTTAATAATAGATGCATGCGAAACAGCACTTGGGTGCAAGGAAGGGGCTATACAAGTTTTTAAAGAAGTCACTTGGTCACATCCTAAGATGCATTTGCCTTTTAGCTGCCTCTCTTTCCATAAATACATGATAATGCATCACATGGTAATTCCAAGAGGCAACAAAATACTTATCTCCCTGATCAAGTTGTAGCCAGAGAGAACAGACTGTGGCTTTGGATCACATCCGTGCCATATCGAAAGTCACATTTAGCCAGTTCAGTGGGTCCAGGCAGGCTGAGCATCATGTTGCCAAAGCTCACTAGCTGTGCTGGCTCAAGTTACTTATGTGTTATCACAGTTCACAAGGTGGATTAAGAGCATCCTGCAATACCAGCCTTCCACAAGTGAAATTCGCAAGAGATCTGTGAAAACCTGAGCATGGTTCAAAGCAAAATACTGTAGCATACTGTTAGCACTTCCCCCAAATATCGGGTGGGAAGGTATGGAAGTGTAAATTATATAAATCATGCACTTTCCTCCACATTGTACACTTTTGGTCTTCTTACAGAATGGAACTTGGAGGACATCATTTTAATTATCTAATTGATTTGTCTAAATCACATCCATGGATGTACTTGCAATCCTTGTCATTTATTTATTTATTTACTGTTTATTGCCAAAATAGGCTTCTAAGCAATTTGCAAGTATGTGAAACAATTACACAAGCAATCTATACTATATATTAAAATCAACCTTAAACAAGACCAGAGCATTTTCTGTAGCAGCCCGAATGCTATGGAGGGTCATATCAGGTATCTGCCTGCTTTCTGCTAATTGGTGAGGTTATCCCAGTTGACCTTTGAAAACTGAAACAGGACTGCTTTCCATGTTTTACAGTGATTTTGTTGCCTTTTCTTTTGTGGGGTATGGTTTTAATTAAATCTTTTGATGTTTTTATTGCTTTATTTTAAATCTGTAAAGCCCTATGATATATTTTATGAACAGCAGTGTATAAATACTTTTAAATAAACTGGGAGAAGGAAGAGCATGAAACACAATGTTTTGGTCAATATGCTGTCAAACAAAGGTGACAAACCAAACCTGTACCTCGCACAGAAGCATGTTTCTTTTGTCTGCTTCAGGCAAAAATTGTGGTCAAATCCTCCGAGCTGAAACTTCTGCAGGTGTTTTCCAAACTCCACTGGCTTTCTCAGATCAAAACCTGTATCCTGCACTGAAGCAATTTCTCCTAATGGAGAAAGGACAAAGAAAGAGGCAAAGAAACTACACACATTTAGCAACCTTCCACAGCAACTCTTAAAAATGTGGACAGAACCAAGATGGACATCTGGAAACACCAAAAAGTCCACCACAGCAAACAAACCACACACAGAACAATTTAGTGTGGGATTCCCAAACCACAGGTGGTCTGAAAGGACATTGCCACCTTTCCCACTTAAACCAAGTATGGGGAGCCTATAGCTCTCCAAATGCCAATCCTGGACCACTGTCCTACCATTAGGCAGAGTGAGGCAGCTGCCTTAGGCAGTAGATATGACGGGTGGGGATTGGACAGCTGTGAGTGTCACATGCCATGTTCTGTGTTTCCCTAAGTAAACTTCCCCCCTTTCAATGTCAAGATTTAACCTCCATCTAAGAACATAAGCAGTGCACTGCTGGGTTAGGCTAGCAGCCCATATAATTCAGAGTCCTGTTTTCACAATGACCACCCACCTTGTGTTTTTATGGCATTGTTCCAGTTTTAGAAAAGCAAGTTGATTGACCACAGATTTGAACTCAGGGCTAGCACCCTACACTGAGGCCAGTTCTGCAAAGTTGGCCATGACAGCTTCCTAGATAACATCTGTAGATTCAACAGCATTCATCTTAAAAATCAACCAACCTGTGGGGATCTGGGTTTCATCCACTGGCAGGTAAGAATCTGCCTGTATAGTAAATTCATGGTCGTAGATATTGGGGGATCCCTGAAATATGAAGAGAGGGAAAAAACCTCTGTTATATCAGAAAATAGAAAGACAGAATTTTACACCACCTTTGTTGTAAACACAGAGCTGTAGGTACCTCCGAATCACAATAATCACTTTACTGAATCAAGGCCAAATGTCAATGAAGACCAAGATCAATTGTTCTGGCATTTGGTCTCCAACAGTAACGACCCAGACCCACAAGAAGCATATACATGGGGGAGGAAGCAATGGAGTATCCTGGGAAAAGGTATGGCTGCCTGGAATTTGGAGCAGACATTCTGAGTGCTCCAAACTCTCCATATTTTGTAGGATTCAAGTATGTAGTGGAAGTTTAGGTTTGTGCATTTAAAGTGGATTAAAATCTTCTGTTCACCTAGTGCAACAAATCCCCTTTTATTTTTTTAAACAAAATTTGTGATTTTGACAATGACAGGGAAATGCATTGCAAAGTGGAATGGGATAAATGGGAAGATGTGTAAACAACACACAAACAAATACTTTTAAGACCCCTCGCTGAATAAATTTGCAAAAATTAAGTTTCGCCCCCTAAAATGACATGCCCTAAACTAAGAAGTACTGAAACGGTCTTAAATAAAATAAATAATGGGGTGCCTTCTCCCAAACATTCCTCCCCGTTGTTCAAGTTCAGGGGACTGAAGCCTTGCACCCTGTTCCATTACTTAGCGAAGTACAACCGACTTGGCAAGAAGGGATTATATCAGGCAAGAAAATAACTAATAACCCTATGGACACTTTTGTGGCAGAAGTGGAAACGTGTGGGGCTCCAGATGTCACTGGGCTCCAATTCCCATCAGCCCCCAGGCAGCATGACCAATTAGCGGGGATTATGGGAGTTGTAGTCCAACATCATCTGAAGGAACACAGGTTCCCCCCAAATCCTGTTCTATAGGATGTTCCAGAATGGGAGAGCCAAACAGAGCTGCCTTACCTGGCCTGCAAGGTTGAAGTACGCATGGTTTGTCAGATTGACTGGCGTGGTCTTACTGCTTTGAGCTCTGTAGCTGATTGTTAGCTCCCCATCCTTGAGAGTATACGTCACCCAGACTTTCAGCTCACCAGGATATCCCTCTTCACCATCTGGACTTACTCTGAAAAACCGTACGCCATCTGGCAGCACTTCAGGTTCCCAGATGGCCTGCAATACAATTTCATTAATGGTATTTTTTTTTAATCACATTGGCTAGAGTCCAGCTACTAGACTGATGTACCTGGAGGAGCACGTGTGCCAAAAGATTACACATGACAACCATGGATCACTTCCAGGATTCAAAATATTTCAATCAGTGTTTCCCAAGCTTGGGCCTTCAGCTGTTTTCGGACTCAATTCCCATCATCCCTGACCACTGGTCTTGCTAGCTACGGATGATGGGAGCTGTAGACCAAAAACAGCTGGAGATCCAAGCTGGGGAAACACTGATTTAAATGAACTTTGAAGTGCTTCCCATCCTCCCTCTGTTAAACAGCTCACCTGGGCAACTGGTCACCCATGTTGTCTGCTTGCTTGCCTGCTGTTCCGTTGTCATGCTGCCATTGGGACTGCAGCATGATGATAGCCTTACATTTTTATGTATATAGGAAGATATACACACATGTAATACACACTATATAGTAAGCTTGGTGAGAGACGGTGATTCATACATAAAACAGCCTTCCTCAAACTTGTGCCTTCCATATGTTTTGGACTACAACTCCCAACACTTCCAGCCAGCATATGCTGAGGATTATAGCCCAAAGCAGGGATGCAGGTGGCACTGTGGGCTAAACCACAGAGCCTAGGACTTGCCGATCGGAAGGTCGGCGGTTCGAATCCCCACGACGGGGTGAGCTCCCATTGCTCGAACCCTGCTCCTGCCAACCTAGCAGTTCAAAAGCACGTCAAAGTACAAGTAGATAAATAGGTACCGCTCTGGCGGGAAGGTAAACGGCGTTTCTGTGCGCTGCTCTGGTTCGTCAGAAGTGGCTTAGTCATGCTGGCCACATGACCTGGAAGCTGTACGCCGGCTACTTCGGCCAATAAAGCGAGATGAGCGCTGCAACCCCAGAGTCGGCCACGACTGGACCTAATGGTCAGGGGTCCCTTTACCTTTTATAGCCCAAAGCAGCTGGTGCACACCAGGTTGTAGAAGGCTGCTGTAAAATTTCTTAAGCCTCAGCACCTGGGAAAGGATTATTCCAAACAAAAGCATGTGTTTCCTGTGCTGGTTAACTGGAGGCATGAATGGGCAGTCTATGACAAAAATCTAACTGTTCCACCACGATGCCGACACAGAGCAGGCCACAAAAATAAGGTAACACTACAGCACAGTTGGCATACTGTATCTTCACAGCTCAAACCCATTTAATTCTGTAAGGTTGTAATTCTGGCCGGTTGGTATCCATCAGAGATGCGTAGCACAGGTGGGAGAAAATGATTGGGAAAATGTGTTCATGTACCGAATCAGCTAAAAATCTATTCTTAAGTTTGTTCTTAAAAGGAAGGATGGCAGCTCAGTGGTAGAACATCTGCCCTGCACACAGAAGGCTGCAGGTTCGATCTCCTGGCATCTCAAGGAGTCTTGTCTGAAACCCTGAAGAGCCACTCCCAGTCAGTGTCAACAGTATTGAGTTAGGAGGACCAGTTATCTGTCTCACTGTAAGGCAGATTCCTAACATATATGCTTTCATTAGGCAATCTGTTTTCATTTAGGGTTGTCATAATTCAAAAAACCAGGACAACCTGAAAGTTGAGCTTTTTTTTTCTTTTTAATGGAAACCACCATAATGGTTGAGCTCTTTTTAAGAAAACCAGAAAGTTGTTGAACTTTTCTTTCTTTTTTTACAAAAACATGAGTTTTTGATTGAAGATCCAAGACAAAGTGCTACCTTTTGGAAATTCCCCCCAGACGTCAATTCCAGCTTTGAAATCCCATTATGTCGGACATGTTGTTTGTTGTTGTTTAGTCGTTTAGTCATGTCCGACTCTTCGTGACCCCATGGACCAGAGCATGCCAGGCACTCCTGTCTTCCACTGCCTCCTGCAGTTTGATCAAACTCATGCTGGTAGCTTCAAGAACACTGTCCAACCATCTCATCCTCTGTCGTCCCCTTCTCCTTGTGCCCTCCGTCTTTCCCAACCTCAGGGTCTTTTCCAGGGAGTCTTCTCTTCTCATGAGGTGGCCAAAGTATTGGAGCCTCAGCTTCAGGATCTGTCCTCCCAGTGAGCACTCAGGGCTGATTTCCTTCAGAATGGATAGGTTTGATCTTCTTGCAGTCCATGGGACATACGCCAGCCCAAATTAATTATTTTTGTTGCTGGCATCCAACTGTCTCGAGAGACAATGGAGTGTGCCTCGGGGGGGGGGGAACCAAACCGTTCCATTAGCAGCACAGACAACCCCTCAGCTGAACTGATGAGGCCCCAAGGGAAGCAGAGCAATAGGTCTGGCACCAGCTTGGCTGCAGGAGTTGGCCGAAAGAGGCGTACAAGGTGCCATCCTACTGTCTTAGGGACTACCCGCTGGATTTGCGTAGGGTTTGCTCCTTAGCCTGTTCTCCCAGAAATCAGAGTTTTCATTCTCCTAGGTGGGCTACCTTCCCAGGTGGATGAGCCCCATCTGCTCCTCACTTCCCTCTACAGCAGGGGTCCCCAAACTAACGCCCACGGGCCAGATAAGGCCCGAGGGACTCGTTTATCCAGCCCGCAGCAACCCCCGCCACCCACTGCCGCCGCCCGCTCTTACCAGCGCTGTGCTTCTGGGTCGGAGGAGCACTGGAAATAGCTTGTGCGCATGCGCATGCGTTATTTGCACATGCGCAAACATTATTTCCGGTGCACATCCGGGTCGGAGGAGGCCCATGCACATGCGCACAAGCTATTTCCGGTGCTCCTTCGACCCAGATGTGCGCCGAAAATAGTGTGTCTGCACGCGTATGGGCACATGCTCCCCCGCCCTCTGGCCCGCCGCGTGGTCAGCACTGGAGACACTGGCCCGAGGCGTGGTACGTTTGCTGACCCCTGTTCTACAGCTTGTGCAGAAACAGTCTTCTTGACCACTGAACCCAGTCTTGATCTCATCCGCTCAGTCCGCCAGAGCCTGTCTTTGCATGCAGGGGAAGTCCTTAACTCACCAAGGACTTGAGACCACCAGAGGTACTACCCCTCCCCTAACACCCCATACACCCCAAATTAATGAAACTGATATCTGTTTTAAAAGATCAGAAAACTTTGACTGGAACTGGAATAAATAAAACAAGCAAAGATAATCAAGCAACCAAACCAAGTGTGAAGAAGGAATCAAAACCTGTGCCTGGAAACAGCAAAGAGATATGATCGCCGTCATCAGTATGCATGCAAACAAATTGGGTGGATCCTTATGTCAGCCAGCCGTAGTTCTATAAAAAGCTAAAACCACCACCGAGTTTAGAAGCATATCTATATCTATAGCTTTGCTTCCTGCAGAACTCAGGCCAATGCTGGGTCTCCTCATCAGAATAGTCTCAAATTATACAGGAAATAGTTACCGCAGACAAGACATCCAGCCTCAAATTGGTCAAACAGAAAAACTCACATGTTGATTTCATTACTTCTCTGTAAGTATTTTTCAGGGAGACTCTGAGAAAGGTCCAAGCCTGGCTTCAGAGGAAGAAAGGAAAGAATTGGGAGTTCACAGAAGTGTCTGCATGCTGAAGTGAACTTCCCAGAAGTCTCTGGTCAGGGGCGTCTTACCCTTAGAGGCTAGGTGGTGCGGGGCGCCAGGGCGCCAAGTTCTGGAGGGCGCCAGGGAAGAGGTGGAGGCTGGACGCGGCTCCTTCTGGCATCAGCTCTCCGCCCTCGCCCATCTCCACCATGCTGCACCAAAGCAGCGCAGTATCCGGAGCCTCTGTCTGCTGTGGCCACAGCGGCACAAAGTGGCCAGCTGAGCCGGGAGGCGCCGCGTCCAGTTTCCACCTCTTCCCCACCAGAGAAGCTGCCCTCCAGTCACTGCCCGCCTCCTCCAGCCCCGCTGGCAGTGCCATCCTCCCTAAAAAAACTCTGGGAAACGGGGGGGGAGGGGTGCTGGAGGGAGCTTTGCACCATGGCGCCAGATATGCTTAAGATAGCCCTGTCTCTGGTTGGCCACCGAGAGAAGAGAATGCCAGTCTAGATGGCCCTTTGTTTTTATCCAGCAACTAAATGTTCTCACTTTACCTGAATATGTCACCATGCCCTGATAGTAAATACAATGGAACCTTGGTTCACGAATGAAATCCGTTCTGGAAGCCCGTTTGGCTTCCAAAATGTTCAGAAACCAAGGCGCAGCTTCCGATGGGTGCAAGAGCTTCTTACACTCAGTGGAAGCCATGTAACACGTTCGGGTTCCAAAAAACGTTTGAAAATAGAAGTATTTCCTTCTAGGTTTTCTGTGTTCGGGAGCCAAAACATACGACATGGGAGGCGTTTTGGAACCGAGGTTCCATTGTACTGACATTGTTATTCACTTGAGCGCAAGCACATTTACCTTATCAAAACCTTTCTTTCCTCCATGCAGACTGTTGGGTCCATTGTTGATGGCTAATTGATACTCGACTCCTTCGACTGTAAATTTCCCTCTGGCAATTCTGTTAGCAACCCGTCCAACGACAGCTCCAAAGTAGGGGTGCTTGTTGGTGTACCCTGGCCAATAAAAGAACATGTACAGCGGCCTTAGATTTATAAGGTCAATACATTTCAATGCTCAACATTGGAAGCTAGCTAGAGCTTTCATTCTATTCTATTTTTAAAGGAGGGGCAGTTAACTGTACCCCTGATCAAAGCTTCCTCCATCCAGTAATCCCTTAGGAAAGGAGGGCCTTGGCTAGGCTCCCAAACTCTTCCATGTGAAGGCATATCATATCCATTCACTCCAATGGAAGAAACACAGCCGTATCTGACACAGCTCCCATCTTAATTAAAATTAGTAAGAACTGGAAGTCTGTGAGGCTGTGTGGTCATGCCGGCTAAGTTCCACACTGCTGCAGGTGGCATGCCTCTGGAACTCAGTTGCTGGGAAGAAGTGGGGAGTGTTTGGTTGCACTCAGGGTGCATATGATTGCTCCCCAAGCCTTGTGCCTTTTAACAGCCTGAATTTGGGGTTCTGTTGCTGATAGGTCTGCTGCAGGAAGATCAGGGTGCCCCCTCTTGAAGGCGCTTTTTACCCTGGCTTGCTTGACAACAGATGACAGCAATACATTATTTCATTGGGGGGGGGCAGAGAGAAAGGAATCAGTAGTGATCTATGCAGCATTGTGTGGGGATAAAAAACTAACTGAAAACTGTGCTCTACAGATCGTGGAACAACTGAACAGAAACAAAACCGAGCATAAAGACTAATTAACCTCAAAGCAAAGTCATCCACTCATTGGTAGGGTTAAGAGGAACAAAGGAGCATTGCTTCATTTCAGTTGGGGGGGGGGACTGCAGAAGCCAATACACAGTCTCCAAGCCCACAGAATCTAGAAGCAGCTATAAAAGAATGGATTGCTGGAGGAAAGTAATCAGTGTTTATTTCTGCACCCAGCTTCCCACAGACTTAATGTCTAAAGCCATGGGTAGGCAAACTAAGGCCTGGGGGCTGGATCTGGCCCAATCGCCTTCTCAATTCGGCCCGCGGACGGTCCGGGAATCAGCGTGTTTTTACATGAGTAGAATGTGTCCTTTTATTTAAAATGCATCTCTGGGTTATTTGTGGGGCATAGGAATTCGTTCATTCCCCCCACCAAAAAAAAATACAGTCCGGCCCCCCACAAGGTCTGAAAACTTTGCTGACCCCTGGTCTAAAGCAGTGGTTCTCTGCCCTGGGGTGTGTTGACTGGTGGTCAGGGGTGCCATGGGCAACACTGGCCTCTGTCCCTCTTTCCTTCCTGCCCCCTCTGATGCCCTCTCATGTCTCTGCTACCCAAAGGCTTGCACAGCTGTTTATTGCAGCAGCCCTGGCTATAAGCTCTGTAGGAGGCAACTCTCTTTGCATGGGGGGGGCAGCTCAGTGACCAGGGACAGCAGCAGCTGCCCGGAGGACTCCCAAGGAGAGGGGAGAGGAGAGAAGGCTGAGGGAACATTGCAGAAGGGGGCATGCTTGAAAAAGGGTGAGAGGCTGCAGCTCTGCAGGCAAGGGGTGACATAGCTGGGCTCCTGAGCCCCACAGGGGTCCCACAGAAAAAATGCAGTCAGTTAAGGGAACCGTGGACTCAAAAGGGTTGAAAACCTCTGATCTAAAGCATTCAGCAGCAGCTAGTCAAGATTATGTAACAGTGGAGGCACTCGACCCTCAGATTATCTGATCTCTGAAGAAGAACATGAAAAATGCTGATTGGTAACTGAGGGGGGCAGGAGGAATGGTGGCAGTTCTTGAGAACCAGGGACGACTGATAGATATTCATACTCTTCTCTACAGCTATATTTCTACTTCTCTGGATGGAAGTCTACTTGCAGATCGGTTTTATTGTCTCATGCCTGGGAACCTGTTCATTATTCAGTCCGTTATCCTGATCCCTGAATAAATTTCAACCTCTGATTTATGTACATGCTTAAAGGGACAATCGGAAGTCCAAGGCAGACAGATTGTAAACTCTGGCCCTTCCTCCAGGGGCACTTGCGAGTTGTTTTATCCTCACATGGCAATTCTGGAAAGGAAGGTTAGAATAAGGCCACATTCACAACAACAAATTTAAAGCAATGTGACAGCACTTCAGACATTAATGGTTCCCCCAAAGAACTGTGGGAGCTATAGTTTGTTAAGGATGCTGAGAGTGGTTAGGAAACCCCCTATTCCTGTCCCAGAGCTACGATTCCCAGAGCTTCATGCAAAGACGGATTGATTGTTAAGCCACTCTGGGAACTGTAGCTCTGGGAGGAAAACAGGGGTCTCCTAACAGTTCTCAGCACCCTCAATGTCAAAATGGAGGTTGGCTGCTGAATCTCTGATGGGCGCATGTTCCACAGCATGGGACCAGCAACATTAAATGCCTGACTTCCAGTGTATCTGTCAACCTAATGGTTCATGCAGCAGAGTCTTCTCCATTCATCCCCTGCAGGTACAAAGAAGGAGTGGGATCATGCCCACTGGCTCTGCCCCACATACTGTACACCCTACTGGCCCCACCCTCAATGCCTGTTTGTTCAGCAGAACATATGCAAAGGGTCGCACAGAATTCTACACACACAGGCACCTCTTTGCGTATATTTTGCCAAACAAATGTGCAGTAGTTGGGCACCAACAGCAGGAATTATTTCAAGGGACAGGTACTAAACCTCTAACTGCGCTGTACCACTTCATTTATAGTGGGTGACTTATCCAAAAAGCTCCCTCCACAAGGAAAGTTAGAATGTCAGGAAGAACACAAGACTGAATCCCTTCAGAGCCCCTTCTACTTTTCTACTTTTCTACTTTAAGGTTCAAGCAGCATTTAATCCTGTGGGCGGCAATGTGATACACTCCAGACTTCGACCTCTGTTTGTTAAAAGTAGGCTTAAGTCTGTAAATATAATTATCCTTATTTGTTTAAAAAACCGAAATATGCCTATAATCTAGGCACTTTGCCTGGGATGGAAGATATTGCATATCTGTTTAGCTGTAAATGTGCAAACACCCAGGTGTTTCTTTTTCCGGGGGGGGGAGAGAAACTGGAATGGGGAAACAGTGGTTCCCAACCCTTTTCCCTGCTGCTTCCTCCGCCCACCCTCACAAAATTGCAGGTCAAAAAAGGGGGAGCATCAGGAAACGAATTTTGTGTACACCACTCATAATACTGCAATCAAATGAACATACAGTGGTACCTCAGGTTAAGTACTTAATTCATTCCGGAGGTCAGTTCTTAACCTGAAACTGTTCTTAACCTGAAGAACCACTTTAGCTAATGGGGCCTCCTGCTGCCGCCTTGCCGCCGGAGCACGATTTCTCTTCTTATCCTGAAGCAAAGTATTTAACCTGAAGCACTATTTCTGAGTTAGCGGAGTGTGTAACCTGAAGCGTATGTAACCTGAAGCGTATGTAACCCGAGGTACCACTGTACTTCCTTGGAAGTAAGCTCCACTGAAGTGTTTAACTTCTGAGTTAACATTTGTTTGTTTCACAGCTTCTGCTTTTTTGTTGTTGTTGTTGCAGGTAATGCATCCTACATTTAAAGCACGTGGCTTTCTGCAAACAACCCCAGAAACTGTAGTTTACCCCCTCCCCCAGAGTTAAAATGCCCAGCACTTTTAACAAATTACTGTACAGTTCTCAAGATCATGGGGGGGGGGAGTTATTTGCGAGTTAAAAGCTTTACTTGTTCTTTTATGCTCCATTGCAAAACTATGGCACTAAAAAGCAGTGATGAAGCTTGAACATTTTTCAGCTTGGATGTACAGGGCTACTTATATTACAGCACCACCAAATCTGGGTGGGTTTCAATAAAACAAATCAGAGGTTGCACTGGAAACATATTGTGCCTCGAGGTTTCTTCTGCGGAATAAACTTTCAAAAAAGTTAATTCAAACCCACCTTCCAAATGATCAAAGCCTAGAACAATATCTGAGAATTTTCCATCTTTGTCTTTAGTCTCCAACGCGGTGATTATGCAGCCCAAGGAGATAATTTCCACTTTTACCGTGCTGGATTTGAGCAGGAATTTTTCCACAGTCCCTCCGCCAAGGTGCCATTCCCCAAATTTCTCTCTTTCACTTCTGTCATTGCTCCCCACTCGCCCCCTCCCACGAAGCTTGTTTGCAAAGGGAGAGACACCAACACAGACGGATAAGAAAGAATCAGAGGGACACTATGGGGAAAAAGGACTTTGCCCAAAGGGGTTTTACCAACTATCAGAATCACGTGACACGTGCCCATCAGCTGACGCGGAAGAGGACACAGAGAGAGAGAGAACCTGCCTCGTTATGTTGCTGGGGGAATTTTTTATGCAGAGCAAGATTTCTGAGCAAAATGGGGCATTTCCCCGCGCAAGTATGCGCAGGTGCAACCCTGTCAAAAAATCACAGAATTGTAGAGTTGGAAGGCACCTCAGGGTCATCCAGTCCAACCCGCTGAAAAGCAGGAATCTTTTTGCCCAACCTGGGTCTCAAACCCGCGACCCTGAGCAAACCCACCTTGAATCCGGTACCACTTATCTCCGAGTAAGCGTGCCGCCTTAGGCTAGTAGTGCAGGCCGAACCCTTCTATACAGTTACTCAGAAGTAAGCTCTACTGAGCTCCACGGGGTTTGGTCCCGGGTACGTGTGCACCCATCACTTAAGTCAACGCGCCTTTGCAACATTTCTAATTTGAAGCCGATCCTATCGTGTTGACTCGGACTGCGCTCAAATGGGACTAGCTCCTCCTGGGCAAAGGATTGCAGTCTTTCATTGGCGACAATTAATTTACGAATCCGTAATTCACAGGGTGTAAACAAGCACTGAGCTACACTACAGCAAGAGGAAATGATTGCAGGCGGTAATTATTGCGACATTTCTCAGTACAGTTATTGCATGCTGGAACTTGTTCTTAAGAGGCTGTTGCGCTAAGGTGTGGTCAGTGGTCTACATATGCAAGAGCAATGCTTCCCCCATGGCGTTGGACCCAATCCACTTGCATCCTGCAGTTTCTTGATAAATGCTGTGGCTTGGAGGCACTTTCCTGCAAACCCAGCTCCCAGCCGATTAAAAAGGTTTAAGCCAACATGTATACATTTTTTTTACATCAGCAGATGGCAGCACCCGTGCAGACGATGGTTTCATTGACTAGGAATCGGAGGGGGGATTGCAAGCATAAGAAAGCAAATCAGGTAATTGTGTGTGGACAGCGATGTAACATGAGACTTAAAAGGTGTGGAGGGGGGAGGCCGTGTTTTAAGCCACTAATGTATACATGCCCTTAGGCTATTGGCACCACGGTAAAAAAGAAAACAAAAGTGAGCACTTGCTTTGTCATGACCACTTACGGTAATTAGATTTAATAAGTCTAATCAGGGCAACCAGGGGACAAAACATAAAGGATTCATTCCAAACACTATGGAGTTTTTAATTATTATTCTTTATAAGAGGATAATGATTGCCCTCCACGCCAGATTCAGATTATGGGCCTTTTGAGCGATTTTCTCTCTTCTTCTCAAAACCCTGCGAATAAAAACCCTGTAAGGAAATCTCTTTGAAGAAAATCTAAATGGAGAAAGAAAGTGTGGAATTATCAACATGTACAGTTATTCAGCTGTCCTAAGCCTGTTACATTAAAAAACACCCTTTGTTTCAGTTTTGTTTTCGTTTTTAATTTGTGTTTTCAAAAAAGTTTACATCAAAGTTAGTTACTTTTACATTCTTCTCGTTGGAAATTTCCATTTGTGTTAATGAACATTTGGCATACACTCCGTTCATTTTGAGGCCCTTGGCCCGGCAGTTCCAGTACTTTGGTTTATATTCAAGTTATTCATTCATTCACATGATCAGGCAGGAAAAAGGAAACCTTTCAGAAAACATTCTTTTCTAATCAGGGATGGAAAAAGTGCACTGAACTGTAGCTGCATTTGGCAGTACCCAGAAATTAATTATTGCTGCACTTGTTCCAGGAAACAGTTTCAAGATCAGGTCAAAATGAGATTTCCGGCCCCTTCTAGAAAATGACAACACTGAGGGCTTGTCCACACTTCTGCTTGTCCCAGGTCTGAGCAGCTTTCTGCTTGTCCAGCACTGGATTTATGGCGATGCTGGCGGTTTCCCCTTGCAGGGTGCCGAGCCAAGGGGGCACAAAATTACGACATAGTGCTGCATTACCAAAATATGCCCCTGGCTATGCCCATGTTTTCTAGGCACTGGTCTGAGTGGTTTTGCCTTTGCTCACCTCTTTCTCCTGGAAAAGCCACTCTTTAGTGCTTAATTGGAACATACAGCAGTCCACGGAAAACCCAGTTGCCATTTCTTCCAATTGAACGCTAAACTGGGGGGGGGGGTTTCTGGGAGAAAGTGGCAGGTCAAACAGTGCATCTGACAAGTTGATTTTGAAGGAGGGGTGCTCAGTTAATTCAGGGGGTACATGGGGTGTTCCTTGGGCCTGTACAACAGGCTTTGCTTACGTAGCTCCCCAGCTTTGCTCTGTTTTCTCTTTTGATCATCCTCTCTGTTCCTCCACTGTCTCTATCCCTGCCTACCTGCCTGCTTTCTAATCTGACACCTTTCTGTACCTGCTTGCCAGCCTTGATACCAACTTTCCCCTTGCTCTAGCCCCAGTTCAACCCAGCTTGTAATAGACTCTGCCTCCAGCTAACCCTACTGTGTTAGTGTACACGCCATCATGGCTGTGAGTCCTGGAAGACCACTTTGGAACTAAACTAAGTTTTACTGCCTATGCAACTTTTTCTGAATGCTGTATGAGAAAACACATTAATCTGACCTTTGGAGAGTTTGTAAGTAAACTTACCAAATGTGTGGTCTTTTTCTGTGCTGGAGAAGAGGAAACTTTGGAAGGAACTTGTAAGGGCATATTTAAAGGTTCTAGCATTCATATATACCTGCACCAACAACAGCAACATATGAAAGTAACATGAAGAGGAAGAAAAACCTCACTGCAATTTAAGTGGCTAACACGCATGTAGCCTGAGACTAAACTCTGGCAGGATTTTTGGTGACAGAAAAGGAATATGTTGGTTTTTTTACAGTAGAGGAAGAGTTTGGTAGTGTTTTGTTGACTGGGTTGTTAATAACTCTTAACCAGCCAAACAATTCAGGCCAATCAGCACACATTCTGAACACCTTGCCCATCAAAGAGTCAACCTTATATGTAGTTGATTCACACATCCATGTTGGAGATGTAAATTGCTGTTTCCTGGTTCTGCTGGATCTCTCAGCGGCTTTTGATACCATCAACCATCTGGACCGTCTAAAGGGGCTGGGAGCTGGGGGCACTGTTATACAGTGGTTCCACTCCTTCCTCCTGGGCCGTATTCAGAAAGGGGGGGGGATGAGTGTTCAGACCCCTGGGCTCTCACATGTGGGGTGCCTCAGGGTTCTGTCCTGTCTCCCATGCTTTTCAACATCTACATGCAGCCGCTGGGAGAGATCATCAGGGGGTTTGGGCTGGGTGTTCATCAGTTTGCAGATGATACCCAACTCTACCTCTCTTTCAAATCAGAACCAGTGAAGGTGGTGAAGGTCCTGTGTGAGTGTCTGGAGGCGGTTGGAGGATGGATGGCGGCCAACAGTTTGAGGTTGAATCCTGACAAGACAGAAGTACTGTTATTGGGGGACAGGAGGTGGGCAGGTCCTGAATGGGGTAACTGTGCCCCCTGAAGGACCAGGTGCACAGCCTGGGAGTCATTTTGGACTCGCAGCTGTCCGTGGAGGCGCAGGTCAATTCTGCATCCAGGGCAGCTGTTTACCGGCTCCATCTGGTATGCAGGCTGAGACCCTATCTGCCCGCAGACTGTTTCACCAGAGTGGTGCATGCTCTAGTTATCTCTCGTTTGGACTACTGCAATGCGCTCTTTGTGAGGCTTTTAAGGTGACCCAGAAACTACAACTAATCCAGAATGCAGCAGCTAGAGTGGTGACTGGGAGCAGCTGCCGAGACCACATAACACTGGTCTTGAAAGATGAGCGCCACAAACCCTGAGTCGGCCACGACTGGACCTAATGGTCAGGGGTCCCTTTACCTTTAAGTAGAAATATTAGCAGATTATTTTGCAAGACTTTTGTAGCCTGGGAGTGTGCCTGCCTCAGTGTTTACCTACCATTGTTAAGGAAGTTCTGGTCAACTGGTGGTCAGGTAGAGATTTCACTTCCATCTTTTTTGTTTCAATATTTTTCACGTTGAAATAATTTGTTTATCACAAAGAGGCCCAACTTTTAAACAAGCAAAATGATTTTCAAGCAAAGTTCCTAAATGCTCTCTGGGTCATCCTCTTAATGTGATTGTCTGTCTTTTCTCCTACTCAAGACCTTACATTTATCCACCATGTGATTAAAAGTTCAATACATTTTTTCTGTAACTTGCACATATTTCTGTTGGGTTTTGAGCAGCAGACCTTTATAGAGGTCGTTTGCCTTGCTTCACCCTGTCTCAAATAAGGCGTGACCCCCTCTAACTCTAGTACTAGGAGACTTAGGGAAGTTAAACGGGGAAAATGTTTTTATTTTACAACAAAGTTGGTAAAACACAGGATGTGTCAGGAGATGGAATTCTTTCAAGAAACAGTCAACTTAAGTATATATTAATTTCTATCAGTACAATCGTGCCTTGGAAGTCAAACGGAATCCGTTCTGGAAGCCTGTTTAACTTCCAAAACGTTCGAAAACCAAAGTGCGGCTTCTGATTGGCTGCAGGAAGCTCCTGCAGCCAATTGGAAGCCCCGTTGGACGCCCGGGTTCCCAAGAACATTCACAAACTCACTTCCGGGTTTTGATCGTTTGGGAGCCAATTTGTTTGGAAGCCAAGGCGTTCGAGATCCAAGGTAATACTGTATTCCAGACCAATGGAATCACCATACCACTCTCCTAAGTGGTTTGGGATTGTCCTCCTCTCACCAGGAGATATATATATCCCCATTTTACTGAACTGAGACCCAAGTAGGGTTTCCCCTCACAACTCCACTTCTCTTTTCTCAGCTTCAGCCTCCAAGTTCCCATTTGTCTGTACTGTATACTCATAAAAGACTCTAATCACTATCCTTCAGTCTTCTCCCAGCTCAGAGACTTCCTTCTCTGGCTGTAGATATTTTCCTCAGGGTGAATTACACACACAGCCAGGGCCGGATTTAGGTTTGATGAGGCCCTAAGCTACTGAAGGTAATGGGGCACT